CTCTGGACAGGAAGATGCACAGCCATGCTCTCTCGGAGCCTCCGAGGCCTGGGCCCAGGCTGCAGGGATGGCTGGGACTGGGGTGACAAGGAGCGAAGAGTGCCACCTGGGAAGTGAGTGGGCAAGTGGAGAGAGGACGGATGCCTTCTTGTCTTCCCTAGGCCATATGTGCTCTGCTCAAGGCTGGTCCTCTGAAGAACCCTCCAGTCCTTACCTGGGACTGGGAATAGAAGGCCAGGGACCCTGATGAAGAAGGCCTGGGGTAATCTTGGTTCCAATTCCCCCTGCCCTATGTCCAAGAGCTGTGTCTCTCTCTCTCAGGGCACAGTCGATGGGGCCAGTTTGGGCAGGAGCTGCTTTCTGTAGCCAGCACAGGCCCCACCCTTTCTCAGGAAGAAACTGTGACTGTGGACCAGGCTGGGAGAGCATAAGCACAGACTCAGCATGGGTGGAGGACTCTGAGCCCAAGTGATTAGAGGATGACCAGAGCTAGGAGAAGACAGTGTGGGGCCAAAGAAACAGTCTGGTAAAGCCTTTCAGGCCCAGCCTGGGGCTTTTGGGGTGTTTCACATCTGGACAGATCAGTGGTGGGACAACTGGTGGGACCGGTGGAAATCTGAGCAGACTCAGCAGTGAGTTTCTGACACCAAGCGAGTAGACAGCACCATTTTGGGGGAGGCCTCAGTCCCTGCTCTTGGAGACCCATGGAATGAAAGCAGCAGGCAGGGCCTTGGGGTGAAAGGGGCTCTGTTGGAAGAACCCCCGTGACCCTCCCTAGTGGTGTGGCTGCTGAATCTTCAGGAATGATGTTCCCAGGGGTGCAGACATTCTGGGAGTTGGCATCTGAGGCTGAAATCACTCGTCTGTTTGTGGACCTGAGGGCGGAGACCCCATGGGTTCTACATAGTCGAGTCCTAGTAACTCGGGGTCTGGGCCAAAGGGCCACCTTGGAGGGGAAGGGCAGGCCTCCAATGTCCCATGGGAGGGATAGGAGGTGGGGATCAGGCGACCAGAGCTCTTCCCAGCTCCAAGGAGGGAGGAAACGAGGCCTTGCTTGAGAGCAGATACTTAGCTGCGATTAAGGAAGGGCTCAGACTCCAGAAGGAAATTCATGCCAGAAAATAGTGCCCAAGGGGACTGAGGGTACCTCTCCCTGTCTGGGATCCCTCGCAGGCTTCCAGGGGGTGGGGTGGTGGGAGGGACACTGGGGGGCCCAACCTCAGGGAGTGAAGAAGTCTGGGAATTCCAAGTCCAAGAGGCAGCCCCTGCTGCTTTGAGCAGCTGCTGAAAAGCTTCCGGTGGGGAAGATGGGAGAATGGTGTGGATCCTGGTTGGGGGAGTGGGGGTTGGGGAAGTGGGGGTCGGGGGGGGGGCGATATTTAGCCACAAAGAAGGTGTCATAGCAAGGCCGCACAGGGCTTTGTGCAGAGAGAATTATAGGGAAATGTGGGCAGGCCAGGTCTGGGGCTCTTCGAGGACCCGAAAGATCCTTGCAGGCAGCTCCAGGGAGGGGGCAAGGACTCAGTGAACCTGCAGAATGTGATGAGGGTAAGGGGGCGGGGCTAGTGGTAGACTCAACATGGACACCCTGCAGGTCACAGTGAGAAATAAGGCCAAGAAAAGTCTCCCCTGGGAGCGCCTCTGCTACTGGGAAGGGGAGGGCTCAAGAGCTTTCCTGATCTTCTGGAGGGTCATGGCCCAGAGGGAACGGAGGGAAGGGGAGGTGCTGGTGGAGGCTGAGTGCAGCTGCTTCAGCTGGAGACAGGCCGGGCCCAGATGTCTGTCGTTCTGTCAGCAGCAGGAGTGAATTGGAGGGAGGGCAGGACAGATGGCTGGATGGACAAATACCCACAGCTGCCTGGAGGGAGTGGCAAGTGTGCAGACACAGAGGCCGCCCCAAGTGATCATCGGGATTGTACGGGGAGGGAAGATTCTGGAATGTAACTCTCCTATACAGCACAGCTTTGTCATTGTTAGTTACTGTTGAGTCAAACCCCATGTGACAGTATACAACTACCTCATAGGATTTTCTAGGCTGTAATCCTTATGGGAGCAGATCACCAGGTCTTTCTCCCTCAGAGCAGCTGGTAGGTTCAAACCACCAACCTTTTGGTTAGCAGCTGAATGCTTAACTGTTGGGCCACCAGGGTGCTCTCTCTCTCTCTCTCTATGTATCACAGCATTGCTGTCCAAACCAGGAGGCTTCCCCAGAGAATGTACTAGTGTCAGGGGGGCGAGCAGGGTATCTGCAGTGACTGACTAGGTTGAAAACCTTCCCTGAGGAAGGCAGGGCCCACAGACTGCCCAGACCTGTGTGGCCCTCACAGAGGGCACTGTATGGAAAGGGCATTGAGCCCTGCCCAGACAGGAGGGAAGGGAAGGGAGGGAGGGAGGGAGGAAGGGAGGGAGGTGGCTGCTGGGGGCTCACTGTGTGGTCCCCCTGAGGTGTGAATCCCCTTGAAGTAACAGACCTGGGGGTCTGCTACAGGGAGCGGTGTTCCCACTGTGTCACCTGTGGAGATGTAGGCCCAAGCAGGCCTGGGAAATGAGGGCGGAGGGCCCTGGGTGGGCAGGAGAGGGTGCCCTGGGCTGATTTGGCATCCTGCATTCCTGGATCAGGCCTGGGAAGAGCCTCCCGTCTTTGAAGCCATTCCCAGGGGGTGGGGAGTTGCCTGCTGCAGAGAAGCCCCAGGCTGAAGAAGAGTGACCTGAAGGTTAAGTACGGACTGTTTCCTTCCACACTGTGCACCTCCTCCTGGATTTCCATGCCTTTCTCAAGCCTTGTTTAGGAGTCTAGTCCAGCCCTGTGGGGCTAAGTGAATTCAGGAGAAGGCTGGGGGATTGCCTGATGCTGCGTCAGGGTGGCAGCACCATTAATTAGCAAGGGACACTGAGGGGAGGTGACTTGCGGACGTTGGGTCCAGCGGCTCTACGGAAGTAACGGGAGCAGAACATACTATGGTCAGCAGTGCCAGGCAGCAGGGCCACCGCAGGTCACCTCAAAGAGGAAGGGACCACACCTTGGGTAGGTGGGACTTTGCCTCCTCTGCCCCAGGATTCTCCCTCCATTGATACCTCAAAGGATCTGGACAGATTCTCCTGAGGGTTTCCCTAAGAGAAGCAGCTGTGAGGGGAGGCCCCAGGACCCCCTGTGAAAGCATCAGTGTTGCCCTTCAACGGCATCACCAGCAGACTCTTCAGAGCTATTTTAGCAATGCCACCATCACCTGAAGATACTGCAGAAACTCTTCTCTGGCAACTTCAAATAGAGTTTTCAAGTCACCCAAGAGAGCAGGTCTCGTTACTTTACAGAACTCATCTTGTTTTCTCCTGAAAGCATTGCCCCTGGTTTGGCACCTAACCTAATTCCAAAAATTTCTCTCTGTCCTCAAAGGCCAAAGCTTGGGGCCCATGGAGAAGAATCAGAAGAGCATGCCCCCAGCAATTCCCAAAGGGGAGTTTCCAAGAGGATGTGGTGCGCTGTAGCATCATAGAACACGTGGGGTCTCTCCAGGTAGGTCCCTGGATAGGGACAGTGACAGTGTGGGGAAGGCCCTAGTCTAGGAAGTCAGGGTCACGGGGCAGGTATCTGCCAGGCTCTGTCCACATGCACGCACTGAAATGACCGAACCTGATGCCAGACCACTCACCCAGAACTTTCCCCACTAAGGACATGAGTGGGAACGTCGGCCTCACGCTAGTGACCACCAATGCACCAGTGGACCATTATTTCCCATAAATGATGCCTAACAAAAGCTGGGAGTGGCCAAATCTGACCCCACATCATCTCACAAGTCAGTCTTGACTACAAAACTATGTGGAGATAGTACATAACACGTTTGCTGAAAGGGAGCGTTAGCGCTTGGCTGCTAACTGAAAGGTCAGTGGTTTGAATCCACTAGCTGCTCCACGGGAGAAAGATGTGGCAATCTGCTTCCATAAAGACTGCAACCTTGGAAACCTTATGGGGCAGTTCTACTCTGTCCTATAGGGTCGCTGTGAGTTGGAATCACTCAACTGCAGCGGGTTCTATGAAAGATGAAATGTTTGTAATGTATTGATTTCAATGCATTTTATAACAGCATAAAGTTAACTCTCTTCCTAACATGGAGCACCAAAGGGAGAACATAGAAGACGGTCCATTCTTTAGGTCTGACCCCCGAATGATTGAAAGGGCCTTCAGGGGTCTCTATAGTCCCCTGGTCACAGGTTTTGCTATCACACATGGACTGGGGTTCAAGTTCCAGCTCTGCCACTTACCAGCTGTACTTACTAATGGCCAAGTGGTCACTAGGAGACCCAGGTGGCTCATCTGTAAACAAAGATGATAATATGGCCCATCTTTCTAGGGCATGGCTGGGGTGAGAGTATGTGGAACACATTAGAACAGCCCCTGGGGTATACAACCTGCTTAATTAAGGGTATTAAGGAGCCTACTTCAAGTAGCCCTGGTTGCGCAGTGGTTAACGCAATTGGCTGCTAACTGAAAGATCAGTGATTTGAACCTACTAGTCCGGAAAGATGTGGCAGTCTGCTTCTGTAAAGAGCACAGCCTTAGAAATCACTATGGGGGTAGTTCTACTCTGACCTATACGGTTGCTATGAGTTGGAATAGACTTGACAGCAACAGGTTTGCCTTTGGTTGCTGCTACTCTGAATAAAATAAAGGGGCTGCACTCCACTGGGGATCTTCAAACTGGGTTCCACGGACCCCTGGATTTACAGTGGGTAAATGGGGAGAAGGCCCTTCACCTGTGTTTTACCAGAACAGCTTTGCTCTTCTTATGTGTTTTATATCTTGGGGTTCCACCTAATACTGTATTTGAGAAAATATTTTAGCTCCTAAAAAGAATGTGAAAATCACCATACCAGGTAGCACCTAGCAGCCCTCTAGCAATGAACTTGTGTGTCTAGGATCCAGGCAGGCCCCCCTGACTGGTCTCTCTCCCTGTCCCCGGCCTCCTTGCCCCTCTCCCAGTAACCCCCACCCCCATGCGCACCTGGTGAAGCGGACCTCGCAGATGTTGCACATGTATGGCTTCTCCCCGGTGTGGGTCCTCATATGCCGCGGCAGCTTCCCGGCCCCCATGATGACTTTGTGGCAGATGGGACACTGCTGAGAGGCCTTGGGCTTCAGCTTGCGCTCCTCCACCAGTGGCCAGGGGGGGAAGAGGCCTCCCAGGTGGGTGGCACTCAGGAAGTTGAGATAGGCACCATAGTCGTTCTCCGCCTTGATGGGGCCCAGCGGCCCCCCAGGGAGGTCTGGGAACATGTCCTTGAAGAAGTCGTTAGGGAAGGGCGGGGGTGGGGGCGGGGGCAGCTCTTCCTTCTCTTCCTCCTTGATCTTCCTGTTCTTGATGACTAGGTCCAGGGGCCCACTGTCCATAGGCTGCTCAGGCAGCTGGGCAAAGGCACCAAAGTCCCCCGGCCAGAGGTGTGGGAAGAAGTCCGGGGCGAATGGAGATAAGGAGGGCTTCCTGTCGGGGATGTTGGCTTTGGGGTACAGGTTCTCCCTCAGCAGGGATTCGATGGAGAAGTCCCGGATCACCCCCAGGTGGCCAGGGCTGCCGGCCTGGAAGGAATCAGGGAAGTCCCTGGGTGTGTCTGAATAGGCCTTCTCCGTGAGATGGTCTGTCTTGGAAGGGCTTTGGTGGCAGTTGATGTCCTGGGGGTCTGGCAAGTTCTCCTGGTCAGCGAAATCCTCTGTGTCCTCCTCCTCCTCCTCCTCTTCCTCCTCATCCTCCTCCTCGTCGTCTTCGTCCTCGTCGTCCTCCTTGTCGTCCTCTTCGCCCCCGTCCCCGCCAGGCTCCATGATCTCCAGGCACACGTTCACGATGCACTGGATCTCCAGCATCCTGGCAGCGTTGAGGATGTGCTTGACGTTGGACGCGGTGATGGTGAGCGTGGAGGTGTAGGCAAACTCAAGGATGGCAGCCAGCGCCTCGGGCTGCACGAAGTCGATCTCGTAGACATAGGGCTGGCTGGCTAGGGTGCCCGCCGTGAAGAGCTTCTTGAAGTACTTGCTGCAGGCCGCCAGGACAGCGCGGTGGGTGCGGTACTCCTGCTCCTGCACCACCAGGAGCACGTCGCAGAGCAGGCCATCCTGCCGTTGCTCGTTGAGGCTGCACAGGACCTCGCTGCTGTGGTTGGGGAAGGGAATGCCGATGAGCTCATCGATGCCATTGGCCATGATCTCAGCCAGAGCCCTGCCGGGATGAGAGGAAGAACGTAGTTAGAGGTGGACCAGACACACCCAGGGACTTCCCTGCTTCCTTCCAGGATGGCAGCCCTGGCCACCTGGGGTGATCAGGGATTTCTCCATCAAATCTCTCTTGAGGGAGAACCTGTACCCCAAAGCCAACATCCTCTACAGGAGGCCAGCTCTGGGATTCTAGACCACTGCAGCCAGACCACCCCTGCTTCTTCTTACCTCTGGGCCTTTGCTTATGGCTGGTCCCTCCTCTAGAAAGCCGGCCCTCCTCCTTTTCAGCTTTTCCAAATCTCACCCATGATTCAGAACCTGACTCAAAAGCAGGAGCTTTCCCCTTTAACACTGGGCTCTTTACTCTGGACCCCTGAGACCCTTGGAGTAATGCTTCTCTGGGCAGCTGGCAGCTGCTGGTTAGCAAAGGCTACAGACGCTTCTTGCAGGCTTAACGTCACTGAATTCCACTTTGCTACCATGCAGTCACGAAACCCTGGTGGTGTAGTGGTTAAGAGCTACGGCTGCTAACCAAAAGGTCGGCAGTTCAAGTCCACCAGGCACTCCTTGGAAACCCTGTGGGGCAGTTCTGCTCTGTCCTATAGGGTCGTTGAGTCGGAATCAACTGGACAGCAATGGGTTTGGTTTTTTGGGTACCGTGCAATTGCAAATGCCACGATGACCAGCCACGTGAAACTCAACTGCTCTGTATGCCACAGGACTGTGTCCACCATTTATGCGTACAACATCTGCCGACCAAGGGCCAAAGGGAGAACCTTCTCTCAGGGCTTGCTGCTCCTGCTGAGAAAATGGCTTATTTCACAAAGCCTCTGACTCTTCTAACAGACTAATGTTTTGCACTGGCTACTACCAGTTGCCAGCAAGTCGATTCCGACTTATGGCGACCCCATGTGTGCCAGAGTAGAACTGTGCTCCATGGGGTCCATGGCTGATTTTTCAGAAGTAGATCACCAGGCCTTCCTTCAGAGGTGCCTCTGGGTGGAGTTGAACCTCCAGCCTTTTGGTTAGCACAGAGTACATTACTATTTGTACCACCCAGGGACTTCACGTTGGCTTCAAGAAGCCTAAAACCAATATTGTGGCCCAGTTTTAACAAGTGAATGGGGACTTGGTGGTATATGTTTTGCTCCCTAACCTTACTCTTGGCTTTGTCTTTGTTTCCTTTCATTTGCAATTTTTGATTTATTTTTTTAAATCCTGATATCCGACTGTGAATTTCTGTGAGCCGTTTCACCTATAAGTAAAACTTTAAGTTCAATACTAAATGCAAGTGCATTGTTAGTTAATTTATCCTGTCTGTATTCTGTTACCCTCATGAAAATATAAACCTATGGGAAGAAGCTCTTTCTGAGACACCTTCTTATTATCAGAATTATATGTGAACTATGGTCAGTAACAGCCGTCGAGGAGAGGACCGGGCAGAGGACCATCAGGCACCCCTTCCCTTCAGGAAGCAGTAATAATTTACGTAAAATTGTTTCCTTAGGAAGAACTCACAGCCCAAGTTAGCATATTCAACCTGGACAAAAATCCACCTCCATTTTTATGCCAGAACACGTAGACCCCTTCTGCTTATGGCAAAGCTTGACCGTGGCATGGATGAATCCCAGCGAAGGTCTGGCCCTTAGCCTGGTGCAGTTACAGTGGGGGGAAATGAAAAGAAAAACAAAACCCGAAAGCACCACGCCCCAGAGGAAAGGGCGTTCTGGGGAGTCCCACACACCTATCTTTGGGATGTTTCCTTCTCGGGAAGGCAGGTGTGGGGTGGGAATGGGGGGTGGAGTTGAGAAGTGCCAGGTCCACAGTATGCCACCTGAATGGGGCCTGAAGGCACCAGGGTAGGGCTTGCATGCAGGGTTCTGGGGCTCTTCTTCCCCACCCCCACCTTTTCCTCTACCCTAGAGTAGCTGCAAGAATCCCACTGAGCATCCCCACCGGGTCAGGCCCTCAGGCAGTTTCCCACAGCTAAGGTGTTCCTGCTGTCTGGCCTTCTCCTCTTTAAAAGGTCCAGAGTCCCTGAAGGCCATGCATTTGGTCCCCAAATATTCATTGGGTTTCTCCCTCTGCCAGGCACTTAGAGCAAACCAAGAAGATCCCTGCTGTAACAGTGCTTAAACAGGGACATAAAAACTAGGATAAAAATATAGGAAGGTTCACCAAGGAGGATATACAGATGGCAAATAAACCTGTTGCCACTGAGTCGATTCTCACTCATAGTGAATCTATAGGACAGAGCAGAACTGCCCCCATAGGATTTCCAAGAAGTGGCTGGTAGATTTGAACTGCTGACCTTTTGGTTAGTAGCCTGAGCTCTTAACCACTGCACCACCAGGGCCCCACAGATAGTAAATAAGCCATCTTATTTGAAAAGATGTTCAACATCATTAGAGCCATCAGGGAAATGCAAATTAAAACCACAATGAGATATCACTACACACCTACCAGAATGACTAAAATAAAAAATAGTGATAACACCAAGTGCTGGTGAGGATGCAGAGAAACTGGATCACTCATACATTGCTCGTGGAAATGGAAAATGGTACAGCCACTCTGGAAAACAGTTTGGCAGTTTCTTAAAAACCTCAATTTGCAACTAGCACACACTGTTGAGCATTTAAATCAGAGAAATGAAAACTTATGACCACATATAACCTGTATATGAATGTTCACAGAAGCTTTATTCGTAACAGCCAAAAAACTGGAAACAACCAGATGTCCTTCAATAGGTGAATGGTTCAACACACAGTGCTACCGCTATACCATGGAATATCACTCAGCAATAAAGAGAGAGAGAGAAAAACAAACAAACAAACAAAAAAAACTATTGCCACTGGAAGCAACCTGGATGAACCAGAATGAAAAAAGCCAATGCCCATAGGTGACACAGTGTATGATTCCATTTACAGTAGCTTCCCCCATCTGCGATTTCACTTTCTTGGTTTTAGTTACCTGTGGTCAACTGCAGTCAAACATGTTAAATGGAAAATTCCAGAAATAATTCATAAATTTTAAATTGTGAGCCATTCTGAGCAGCATGATGAAATCTCATGCTGTCTTGCCCAGGGTGTGAATCATCTTTTTCCAGTGTATTCACGCTGTATATGATACCCGTCTGTTAGTCACGTAGCAGCCATCTTGGTTATCAGATCAACTGTCATGGGATCGCAGTCTTGTGTTCAAGTAACCCTTATTTTACTTAATAATGGCCCCAAAGCCCAAGAGTAGTGATGCTGGCAATTCAGATATGCCAAAGAGAAGCCGAAAAGTGCCTCCTTGAGGTTGCTAAGATCTACGGTAAGAACGAATCTTCTATCCGTGAAATGGTGAAGAAGGAAAAAGAAATTTGCGCTAGTTTTGCTGTCGCACCTCAAACTGTTACAGCCACAGTGCGTGATACGTGCTTAGTTCAGACGGAAAAGGCATTAAATTTGTGGGTGGGAGACATGAACAGAAAACGTGTTCCAACTGATGGCAATGTGTTACACCAGAAAGCATGGAACCTATATGATATTATCTCACATTATCACAAGAAGAAGGGTGAGTACAGTACCATATTTTGTGAGAGAGAGACCACATTCACTGGACTTTTATTATAGTATATTGTTAAAACTGTTCTATTTTATTATTAGTTGTTGTTAATCTTAGTGTGCCTAATTTACAAATTAAAATTTATCATAGCTATGTGTGTATAGGAAGAAACATTGTATATATAGGGTTTGCTACTATCTGCAGTTTCAGGCATCCACTAGGGCTCTTGGAATGTGTCCTCCGTGGATAAGGGAGGACTAGTGTATATAATATACCTTAGATGATGAAAGTATAGAAATGGAGAACAGTGGTTGCCAGGAGTTAAGGAGGGACAATAGTGAACTGGATGTGGGTGGAAAAGGGCAACACGAGGGATCTTTGTGATGATGGAAATGTTCTGTAGCTTGACTATATCAGTGCCAATACCCTGAATGTGATATTGTACTATAGTTTTGCAAAGTGTTATGGGGAAACCTGGGTAAAATGTTCAAGGGGTATCTATTATTTCTTACAACTGCATGCAAATCTACAGTTAACTCAAAATAAAAAGTTAAAAAAGGAAACAACCTAAATGTAATAGATGCATGTGTGTATCATCTATCAACAGATCAGTCCATCCATCCATCCATCCATCCATCCATCCATCCATCCATCCATCCATCCATCCATCCATCCATCCATCCATCCATCCATCTCCTCATCCTCATCTATTATAGCAGGGTCACTGGGAGACCTCAAGCCTGTGTAACCAATAGGACATTATAGAAATGATGTGCGACTTCTGAGGCTGGGTCAGAAAAGACATCATTGTTCTAGCCTTACTCTCTCTCAAATCCCTCATTCTGGGGGAAGCTAGCTGCCATGTTGTGAGGACACTCAAGAAGCCTCATGAAGGGGTGTGCATGGTAAGGAACTGAGGCCTCCAGCTAACAGCCCTGAGAGTGAGCTACCTTGAGAGTGGACCCTCTAGCCCCAGACAAGCCTTTGGATGATAGCAGTTGCAGCTGACATCTTGGCTGTGACCTCATGAAAGACTCTGAACCAGAACCACTCACTTAAGCTGCTACCAAATTCCTGACCCACAAAAATTGTGAGATAGTAAATGTTTATGGTTGTTTTAAGCTGCTAAATTTTAGAGGCATTTGTTATGCAGAAATAGATTACTAATACAGGGGCACTATTCATTTCATAGACATGACAGATTTGTTATATTTATCATGACATTTTTCTAGCAGATGGCAGTTAAATGCCTCGGTCTAACAAAATCAGTATATTACAACAATTTTTTGATAGGAAGTAAAATATATTGAGGAAGTGACACTTTTTTCTAATGCTCACAAAGCCACCCTATGGGCAGCAAGGGTCCTGATCCTTAGAGGGGTCTTCTTGCTGAGAAGACTATAAATGAAATGACCCTGAGACCATTAAATAAAAAGCCAAAGGCAGTAAAACCCC